CCGCGGAAAGCTATGGACAACACTTGCTGAAGAAGCACGCATTGCCTGTTTGGGACGGCATTGAGACGACGTCTTCCGCTGCCCCAACGGAAAGCGCGTTCAGAGGCAAATTGCGTCGATACGATCTCAAAGTTGGTGAAAAAGAAATGGATTTGCTTCAAGTCATGATGCAAAACAAGGAGGAAATAGATGCTCTTATACTGGAAAGGGTCAAAGAGGGTCCGAACAAGGTGCAATTCCATGTGGAAGTGGGAATGATCAAAATTCCCACTGTGCAAGACGGGGACAGTGGAAACTTCGAAAGGACCATGCTGTTTCTGAACACTAAGACATTGACAGTGTACTTCGAGGGAATAGCTGGGGTTCAATTCTTGGAACTGATTGAACATATGGTCAACCAAGTCAATTCGTTCTCTTCTCATGGTAGCGGATGGATTATTGACAGAATTGAAAAATTGCAAATCAGTTTCGCGGCCTTCTCACCAATAAGAGCAGGATCCTACCTCGAGCTACCTGATGCACTCAGCGCAGCATCTACTCTGCTCACAAATATCAACACTAAAGATGATGACCGTTGCTTTCTCTACTCCTTTGTTGCCGCATATCACAATGTGAATGAGCCGGCCCTCTACCCCACATCTAGACGGTGGCTGGAGAAAAACAAAGCCTCAACCTACAATCTCGACAAAGAAGGAATTGTGAAAATCAATGGGGAATACGAAATGCCAATGGGTCTGATGGATATGGACAGATTTGAAAAGTTGAACAATTGTCAAATCAACGTCTTCCGGTAAGCAAATTCTAATTTCCTTCTAAAAATTTTAAAATTCCTTCAATAATGTTCTTCACCTATTCAAACACCCTTTTTATTTCATTTCAAACCTAGGTATAAAAATTATTTTTCTGTTCAGGTACAACGATGGCGAATTGTTGCCCATAAGAGTATCGAGCAGATTCACAACTAGCCTGATTGTGGACTTGTTGCTGCTGACAGATGGATCAAAATATCACTATGTGTTGATAAGTGATCTCCAGAAACTGGTCGAGTACGTGCGGCACAAAGTGCACCGATTTCAATCTGAGATTTGTCGCAAATGTTTCCACACATGCGCTTCATTCGAAACTTTGAGAAGACATCAAGAACTGTGCTACCAAGACGAAGATGTCGTCATAACAATGCCCAAGCCGGGAAAAGATGACCACAAGTTCAAAAACTTAACAGCTCGTTGGTACGTACCCAGAGTAATCTACTTTGATTTGGAGTCACTGCTCTTACCAGTATACGGACCGCAACCTGATCCGCAAAAATCTAGCACGCAAACAATTGAAATCCATCAACCGTGCGGCTACGCGTTAGCAGTAATCGAATTTGGGAAAAAAGACCTGTTAAAGTTTGAGCTTAAAAGAGGACCGAATGTGATGGAAGAGCTAATTAGCTCCCTTGAATCGTTAGCGAGACAAATTTACGTAGAAAAAAGGAAATATTACACTTTCACTGGTATAACAGACCAGGAACGGGAAGATGCTACAATTTGTTGGATATGCGAGAATGATTTTTCCGACAATGATCAAGTGGTACTTGATCATTGCCATTACACCAACAAGTTTCTGGGTTGGGCACACAATGAGTGTAACGTTAATAGAAAAACAACAAATTACATTCCAGTGGTAGCTCATAATTTGTCAAATTATGATTTACACTTTATAATCAAAGCGCTGGCAAAAAGCGATTCGGAAAACACTTTTTCCGTAATACCCGCATCTGAAGAAAAATATATATCCTTGACAATCTCAGTCTACATAAAAACGTACACGGACAAAAACGGAAAAATCAAAAAACTCTACGAAAATCTGAGATTCATCGATTCGTATAGGTTCATGCTGGCATCGTTGGCAAAACTTGTCGATAATTTGCCCAACGAAAAGTTTTTTCTGCTGGAGAACTATTTTGAAAAACTCGGCCACTCACGTGAAAAAGTCAGTCTGTTGAAACAGAAAGGGCATTACCCCTACTCATACTTCAACTCATTCGAAAAATTCCGAGAAACTCGCCTTCCCCCACGAGCAATGTGGAAAAATAGTCTAACAGGAGGGGATGTGAGTGTTTCAAGAAGCGAGTACAATCATGCCCTTAAAGTTTTCACCGAACTGAAGTGTGGCTCACTTGGTGATTACCACGACTTGTACTTGACTACAGATGTCCTATTGCTTGCTTCCGTTTTCGAAGCTTTTCGTGAAGTTTGCTATCAAACATACGGGCTGGATTGCGCCTGTTACTTCACGGCAAGTAACCTTTCCGGGGACGCCTTTCTAAAAGTTTGTAAGCCCGAACTGAAACTCTTAACGGACCGTGAACATCTAGACCTTGTGCAGCGAATGATACGAGGAGGCATGTCGTCGATTTACGCGCGCCGATTTTACAAAGCAAACAATAAATACCTCGACGATTTTTCGCCCTCAGAACCATCAAGCTACATCCTCAATATTGATGCAAACAATTTGTACGGGGGGATAATGAAACACTGCCCTTTGCCCTTAAACGATTTTTCAATAGTTGAAAAAAGTCTGGCAGACATACTGCTCACCAGCGAAACATCAGAATGGGGTTATATAGTTGAAGTCAATTTAACCATACCCGAAGAGCTTCACGACTTCTTTGCTGATTACCCCCTTGCCCCCTCTCGTGAAGTAGTGGACATCGGTGCAATGAGCAACGAGCAAGTCGACATGTTGGGAAAATTGGGAATCACCACACTGCCAAAAGTGCCAAAGCTTCTACAGACCTTGCATCCTAAAGAAGGTTATGTTTTGCACTACCTTACCCTAAAATTGTACCATGAGCTAGGAATGAAAATAACTCACCTCGGAAAAGTTCTTCAGTTCCGCCAAAGTCACTGGATGGCACCCTTTGTCGACCTCAACACCCGCCTACGAAAAGCCGCGGTAAATAAATTCCAGGAGAACTTCTACAAGCTAATTGTTAATTCAGCTTTCGGTAAGACAATGGAGTCTAAGTTAGGAAGAAAGAAGCTGGAGATTGTAAGGAATGAGAGAGAACTTTTACAAAAAACAGCTCTGAGCAATGAAAAGCTTTCAAATCATTGACGATCAATTAGCCACAATTAGCTTTTCAGTAACAAAAATATTGTGGGATAAACCTATGATAGTTGGTGCGACCATCCTAGACCTCGCCAAGCGTTTCATGTTTCAGTTTCACTATCAAAAAATGAAACCAAATCTAAACTTGGAACTCCTTTACTCCGACACGGATAGTTTTATTTATGCCATAAAAACTGATGACGTTTACCGAGACTTGGAGAAAATAAAAGCTGATTTCGACTTTTCAAATTACGATAAGGACCATTTCTTGTTCGAGGATACCAACAAGAAAGTTGTGCTGAAGTTCAAAGACGAGACTGGTGGGAAGCCGATCAGAGAATTCATCGCCCTAAAACCGAAACTATATTCGGTCGTCCTTAATGGTAAATAAAATTTAAGCCACCCTTCCACCCCCCATTCCTACCTTTTACAGAACAAAAATACCACCACCAACCTACCTACACCCCTTAATTTGTTGCATTAAACTATGGGCATTTAGCTGATTTAGGCAACATTATACAATGTTGCCTAAACGTTGATTTATCTGACAACATATTCCCTCTTGTTTCCTCTTTTTTAATCATAATTTAGAGTCTTCTGCTCTTTTTTGGTAAAATGAATCAAATTTTGTTCGGTATAAATTGAGTTGCTGAAGTGAAATGAAGCTATCCCCAACGTTGTAGAAAAGAATAATAATTTTGCTATTGTTTAGAAGGCACTCAAAAATTGAGTGCCAAAGGAATTAAACGGAGTGCACAGAGAGAACTGGTCCACCAAACCTTCAGGGACACATTATTCACTGGAAAAACAATGAGAGTATACAACTATAATATAGTTTCGAAAGGTCACACCAATATGACAGTGAAACAAAACAAACTTGCATTATCACCATTCGACTCAAAACGTTTTCTACTTTTCGACGGAATTTCGACAGTGCCCTTTGGCCATAAAGCCGCTGAAGAAAATGCTTTTCTAGAAGACATTTACATGGACACCGAGTGGGCCAACTCATACAATGAAACTGATAACAGTTCTCCCGATTTTACACTCCCGGATTGGGGATTTTTACAGCGGCCCTACTCAGAAGCAGAGCTGCAAGAAGAAGAAGAAGCTTCTAGTAGCCGAGTCCGTGAACGTCCCCCTATAAAAAACCCATTTATTTTATCTGAAGCTTCAGAAGAACGACCATCTAAAAAACACCGCAAAGAAAACCAAAACAATAAACATTAAAGTCTGAAACATATATTTTCAGATGATTTTTACTCTTCGTCCTTTTTATACTTCGACTTGTATATGTTTTGGTTTTTACCAATTTACAACTAATAAAATACTCGTATTGAGCTCAATCACTGTTTTAACATAAATAGCTTCAGGCAAATAAACTAGTAGACACAAACCAAGTGTTAATTCAAACAAATGTGTGAAATCCTTAGGCTTGTTTTGAATAATAAACTTTAATAGCATGACAAATCTTTGACGAAAAGAAAGAAAGCCAGGAAATGATATCCACATGAAACTAGGACGAAAAAAGAAAAGTTCAGGAATTAGGACGATTAATTTTAATTATCGCGGGAAAAGGGACCGCTTTCAAAGGAATTAGAAGGAATTATTGTATCGCGTCCCGGTTGTTGAGCTCAGCTTAACAAGATCCTAAGGAGGGGGTCTTTTACTTTAGGGGTGGGAACTTGCGATCATTTACAAAATCCTAGGATAGGGGTCCTCCAAAAAATTAAGGACCCCTTTCCTAGGATTTTGCTTTACGTGAGGACCCCCCCCCCCCTTAGGAAGGACCCCCCCCTTAGGATCCGGGACACGATACAATACTACTTGTTCATATTTACAGAATACGCGAAACAATTTTCCCCTAGCATTAGTTACGATCATCCAATAAAACAACACCCTAAATGCAGAGCTCAAATTTCGACGAAAGAGACCATAGAATATTTCATTAAGGCAATATAAATTGTGATGAAAAATTACATTCTACTCAATACAGACAGTCGTCATTGGACATTTCAGCTATGAAAACAACAAACCTCTCTCGTGAGATGGAATTTACATTTTATCTTACATTTCAACTCAGCCACCAAGTATCAAATTATTTCCAAGTTTAATAGTTCACAAGTTCTGTTCAAAGCAGATCCCTCCATGTTCTGTAGTTAATAATTCACTGGAAAAGATATTCAACAGCCATTTGTTTGTTCCAGCATTTCATAGACAGTGCCGCTATACTCTGCTCCTGCAAGATATAGCGATATAATTATCCAATTTTTTTCAATAATCTGAATTGCATTTTTATGCAATTGGTCGATGACTCCCACCTGCATTTCCTTCTCATGCATGTCTTAACGTCTTATGTAATCAAATTCAAAAATAAAAATAAAATAATAATTTCAAAACTTACTTGTGAGAATCCCATGTCTACCAGATCATGGATCATTGTGGAATATTCCGAGGCGTATGATGGTTTCTGAACGGGCTTCACCAGACTCGCCATTTCGATGAACTCTTTCTTATCCCCTGCAAGAAACAAACAAACTTGTAACTAGATCAGGTAATTTGGATTCAATTCGACGCCATAGAAACATTACTCACAACTGGCATAGTAGTACGTCCAGAAAGCGGCTGTCTTTTTGAAAATCGCGCGGTTGTCGCGGAACTGAAACAAAAAGGCACAACGTGAACAATGAACACAAATTTCTCGACAAACGCTCGGTACTACTTAATTCAGATATTGGAATTATAAGTATTTGGATGAACTCAAGATTCCATCAGGTATCTGGCCTTGACAAAATGAAAAGATACTCTCCAACGCTCTACACTGAGGCGAAGAAGCGGAGCTTCGCATCACTTGCGATACAACATACATATAGAAAACTACTTCAAACGTTACGCAGATGCGGGACGAAATGCGTAATTTCAAATTGGACTCTGCCCAAAGCCTTAGTTAATTCGAAAATGGATTATGACCGCCACTTTGACTCTTCTACAATTTTCCACCCCCCCCCTTAGAAAAATTACAAATTGGTAAACACTTACCAAACAGAAAAATGAAAAGTGTCAATCAACTCGAAGAAACTGAAAAATCAAATTTTTTGAATTACATCCTTAAGAAAAAACTAATTTAAAAAAAATTGCGCTTTGAATTTCAAGAAAATTATATGATATCTGGGCCAGTATTTATTTTTATTTCACTGAAAAATTCAACCCAGCCGACAATAAAAAAGTATTTAACTCGCAAAAAGTTATCCAAATTTCTCGCGAAAACAAAAAAAACCAGGGTGCTGCTGAAGTGGCACAGAAACCGACCACAAAATCCTTTGTACAAAAAAGGCGGTGAAAAAATGAACGAAATTTAACAGTAGGATAGGACGTTCCAAAATTACCCGGTGGTACGTGAGTAAAACGATGTATCAGTAAAGCAAAAACGAGCGGACCAGATCAGTCAACCGAAAATTTATGATTCATTTAGGTAATCACATTATGTAAAAACTGAGATTTTTATGAAATGACAATTGAACCAATGAAATAAAATAGCTCTTCCCATCAACCTCGTAGTTTTAAAATTATTCTTTCAGCTCAGGGAAAACTTATTCTTAAAAATCTTTAAATCTGCCTTTGATGCAATTGTTACGTAAATCGGTTTACTGATCTGGTAATTTACTGACACATCGGTTTACTGTACGCACCCCGATAACGCAGAGGTAAGTGGAGCTTCGCACCAGTTGCAAATCACAAGGTATTACATTATGTAAAAACTGAGATTTTTACGAAATGACAATTTTTTTCTCAAAACAAAAATTTGACCAAATAATGAAATAAAATAGCTCTTCCCATCAGCCTCGTAGTTTAAAATTAATGTTTCAGCTCAGGGAAAATTTATTCTTAAAAATCTTTAAATCTGCAATTGATGCAATTGTTACGTAAATCGGTTTACTGATCTGGTAATTTACTGACACATCGGTTTACTGTACGCACCCCGATAACGCAGAGGTAAGTGGAGCTTCTCGCCAGTTGCAAATCACAAGGTATTACATTATGTAAAAACTGGGATTTTTACAAAATGACAATTTTTTTTCTCAAAACAAGAATTGGACCAAATAATGAAATAAAATAGCTCTTCCCATCAGCCTCGTAGTTTAAAATTAATGTTTCAGCTCAGGGAAAATTTATTCTTAAAAATCTTTAAATCTGCAATTGATGCAATTTTTACGTAAATCGGTTTACTGATCTGGTAATTTACTGACACATCGGTTTACAGTACGCACCCCGATAACGCAGAGGCAAGTGGAGCTTCGCACCAGTTGCAAACAAAGTGGAAAATCATTCAAAATTGCAAAACAAAATGCTAATCTCAATACAAACAAATCAAAATCTAAAGAGGCGCCACATATCATAAAGTTAATTATATAAAACAGTCACAAAAAAATTCAAAGAAAACGAATGACAAGAAAAAATTTTCGGGCAATTTTGATGTTTTTCACTCAGAAAATATAGTTTTCAATCTCCACTCACTATTAATTATAATAAATCTGAAATTTTCAAAAACGACACAAAGAACCGCTATAAACTAGCAAACGAAAGAAACTAGAATGAATAGGAACGCTGTGAGTTTATTTAAGGAAACCCTCTATAAAATGAATAATAACGGAAAAAAAGACGACTTGAAGCCGACAAATGTAAAAGAAAAAATTCATTCAATCGACAAACTTATATTGTAAGAAGTATACATTTTCGAAGCTACTTAGCGCTAGACCCTCTATAGATAACATTCAACTCAGCGATGAAGTAGGTCTTTAAAAAATTGGTAATTAAGCCGACAAAATTTTAGCCGAATTTGAAAGAAAGAAAAAAGAAATTTTATTCAAAAATGTTTACCATGTTTAGGTTTGAAAAGCACGAAAAAATTCACATTAGTATAAATAGAGCGCTGCAAAAAAGTAAACGGCAGCATTTGAAGTCATATGACCAGGATTAACTTCCTCACGACGCGCGCTGAAATCTTTGAACAACGCACAACGTTTTTTATGGGAAAAAAATCAAGTTAAGGAAATGTAAAATAAAAAAAGGGCAAGGTAAAAAAGCGGGCAAAATTACAGATTTTCATTTTAAAACGTTTGATAAGCCTATATGACACTTTAAATAACACTATGAGCCTAACTCAAATTTGAAATGCGCACAAAGCCCAGAAAAAAAATCAGATTGTTTCCAGCCTTTCTGGAGTGACGTTGCGTTGGAAAATGACGCAAACCGCGGGATTGGAAAAAAAAACCAATAAACCTAACAACGACTTGACTTTTTTCAGAGATCAAGAATTATGCCGAAACAAGGTAGTAGCAATAGAATACCCCATATATAAAAATTAATGACAGGTGCTACAGTAAGTAAACACTAATTTCCGGAAAGTCCACCATCCTCCACCAAAGCTCAAATATGAATAATTCTTATTCATATTTGAGCTTACCCTCAACATATCGGTATCCATACTCCACGAACACTATTCAGATTGTTTTTAATTTAACGAATCCGCTTAAAAAGATCCAACTGCAAAAAAAAAGCAAATTCTTGCAATTTTCTCTGGTCTTCACTCATTGTTTCTGACAAATAAAGAACATAACGAAAATGCAGTTAAAACTCTCAAGGCTTTCAAATCATGTAACCATCTTGTCAGCTATCGCAACATCCATAAAAATTTCTTTATACCAGCATGCTCATTGGGGGAGCGTTTGAAGACAAATTTCTATTTGAGTTAATCTTCCGACACATTCTGAAGTTTAACCGAAATAAAAAGTATCCAACAGACGAGTACAGATATGCCGCCTTTATCTGGTGGATTCGACAGACAGCATCAGCTGTCTGCAAATGGCACAAACGCAACCTTTCGACAACGGAGCGCCGATTCATCGCGAAGCCCGCATTAATCCCAACCCAGGTCCCGAGTCTCAAAGACCATCATCAAGAAATCACTCCTCACGAGACTCCAAACACAGATACTTGCACTCCCCGTAACTCAAAGACCTAACCGCTCAGTCCAAACTATTAACTCTCATTGCTAATACCCCAAAATACGAACAACATACTAACTGGCGCACTCATAGACCACGGTTATCAAACACGAACCTACTTAACAGCTACAATTCAAACTCTTTTGAGCCCGTAATTTCGTTAAACCCCATTAGCTTTCTTAACCCCTTTAACTCAAAGTTTAAGGCCTTTCACAACTTAATTGCGTTGGTATCTCAGTCAAAGTCCCCGGAACTGCAGCTTCACCGGGCGAACAACAAATACATCTCGCAGTGCTCAAAGAAACTAAATTAAAAACCAGCTGCCTAATATCAAAAAGAATTGGACCCATCAATTCTTAACTCAGAACTGATTGCACACTTGAAGGCCGCGGCGTGATAATTGCTGAATATAACTTTTTTTAGCACGAGGAGCTAGAATGAAACGAAATTGAAACTTTAAAATTAGGGCCAACAACCAAAGCCTACGAATCTCGAACGTCTACATCCCTCCGCTCAGCAACTGCTCAAATGATTAGAAACTGTCCATCACCCAATGACTCACCGAGGAAAAGAGATTAAGGCTGTGAGACGTAAAAAAAAGTTTCAATTAAATGTTCCGGAAAACTGAACGCAGCATGATAACCGATGAAATCTTAGGCTCAGTTTTTATCCGATAAACGACTTTAACCAAATTAGGCTCAAGTATGATAGATCAACATCACCATCGCCGCCAGACAAATCACTTGCATCTCCATCTTGATTATTGTTGCTAAGGATCTGGTCATCTGCCTATTTTAATTCAACGTCTATTGAGCAATTAAAGTCTTTTCTCAAAAAACAAACTTGCATTAACTTCTAGAAAAACAATTGTCCAAGTTTTAGTGATGCAATCGAACACGCATTAGGATTAGTGCTCCTACCACAAGAGGTAAATATAGCGGATAAAAACTACATGACTCTAATTTAGCGGCCGCTCGTCGTCATAATCACGCCGGGCGTGACTGTTTCTGTTTACGTGCTCTCCCTTCAGAAGATAAATCCCTGGCAGTGGAAAATGACCAAAATCGTCTACGATCCAATTAATCAAAACTTTTAAACAAAAAATACGAACAACAACCTAACTGACGCACTCATAGACCACGGTTATCAAACACGAACCTACTTAACAGCTACAATTCAAACTCTTTTGAGCCCGTAATTTCGTTAAACCCCATTAGCTTTCTTAACCCCTTTAACTCAAAGTTTTAGGCCTTTAACAATTCAATTGCGTTGGTATCTCAGTCAAATTCCCCGGAACTGCAGCTTCACTGGGCGAACAACAAATACATCTCGCAGTGCTCAAAGAAACTAAATTAAAAACCAGCTGCCTAATATCAAAAAGAATTGGACCCATCAATTCTTAACTCAGAACTGATTGCACACTTGAAGGCCGCGGCGTGATAATTGCTGAATATAACTTTTTTTAGCACGAGGAGCTAGAATGAAACGAAATTGAAACTTTAAAATTAGGGCCAACAACCAAAGCCTACGAATCTCGACCGTCTACATCCCTCCGCTCAGCAACTGCTCAAATGATTAGAAACTGTCCATCACCCAATGACTCACCGAGGAAAAGAGATTAATGCTGTGAGACGTAAAAAAAAGTTTCAATTAA